GGACCATTTTAGCAAAGAGTGTAAACGTTGAGGACCATTTGTGTTAATTACCCTTATAAAAAGTGATCGAAAATTCCTTAATAATACTTTACATTTGTTATTCAATTGATCACTAAATTAGCCAGTCCTTTCAATTGGGTCATTGAAATGTAATAATAAAACCACTGAACATTTTTTATTATTTTTTTATTTTTTATATCCCATCCGTTCCTCCAGTGTGTCGACGAGAGAATGGCGCGGCAACTAAGCTTCTTAACTTCTATAGTTAAATGACACAAAAAGAAAATGTGAATAATAACAAAAGGTTCTTGTTTGCAACAAACGAACGAGTGTTGTTCGAATTTAGCTCAAATGGATGTGAGAAATATTGAAATTCACCAAACAACAAAAAACTGCATTTTTATTAATCAAAAAGCGAATGTAGAGCTTTCAAACCCTTTGATAAATATTTAAATTAGACACAGAGGGACAGCTTTTAGGTACCTTTGCTAGATGGTTTAGGGTGGTGATGCTTTCGGCTTTCGGAACATGGTGTTTTTAACAAGCTAAGATACCAATTCAAAAAATAAAAATTAATTAACGAAAATTCGACAATCAATTTAAAAGTGTGCTCAAAACAATTTTATTCTTTTCAGTCAAGCTTGTGATAGTTGAAGCTATAAATAAATTAATTTATTCAATATTCAGTCACACATGTCTCTAAAAGTAAATATAACAAAGGAAATTCGAATAAGAAAGAAGGATTTGAATTTTAATTCATTAGTAAAACAGAGCTATATGCATTTTCAAGTATTCTTAATACAAAATTAAGTAGAAAGTCAAAAGACATATTTGGTCAGTTATCGAGTCCAATCCAAACCCAATATGTCCTGGATTATTCGAGATGGATTCCTTTAATGAACTATTCATTTGTGCATCAGACTAATGCAGAATTCCACAGATTTTCGAAAACCAGCCCAAGATTAGGCTACTGGCAATAATCCTTACAGGGATGGATGAGATGATCCATTCTTGGACACTTTAGCCAAGGAAAAGAGCTTGAATAAGCACTGAGGGACAGAGAGAGAATCAAGAACCTTTTTCACAGAAAAGAGGGAGACGAGGTGTCACCGCCTGGACGAGTCGTAGAGAGTGTCAGATACTCTCGAAGGGGGCCAGTATCGAAACACTGACCTACCAACGATGTTTTTGATGGGTAATGGACCCCTGAGAAAGATGAAAATAATAATAATAATGTCAGAATATACGAAATTAAACATGGCATTATAACAATCTAATCACTAGTTACAAATTTACAATTGCTTTGTGTTCTCTTTATCTTTATGGTTTCTCCGTCCAGTTTTGCTACACTTGCATCTTAGTTGACATTCCATGATGTGGCACATAGTTTTGCCATTGATTTTAACAACATTTAAAACAATCAATGACCTCAATTTTTACCCATCATGGAATGTCAACCATGATGTACAAATGGAATGTACAAGTAGTTTAATTCTTCTCCGTTTTTGTTCTTCCATTCTAAAAGACTTCTCAAGGCACATATGGGGTACAACAAGCACAACCAATTTATGGAAGAAGGAACCAAGGAAAAGCGATAAGAGTAAAAGTTATTTTTAAGATTTCAGCAGTATTTCTTCAGATGTTAACAAATATAGTAATTAATTACCAGTTATGAGAGTCGAAACTGTTATTACGGTTATCTCCCATCACGAACACATAGCCTTCAGGTACAAGCTATAATAAACAAAAACAAAGGGCAACAATTTTCAAATCGATGCATATAAATCGTATAGATATGTGACATGGTATCATCAAGAGAACAGAATGGAAAACAAGTAAGGGCCATTACCACTGGATCCATTTCATAAGCAAGTGGTTCCAAGATGAAATCCTCATCTTGAGCAATATCATTCACCAACAATTTTCCACCATGAACCTGCACAAAGTTATCAAATTGGACCACTTGTTAGAGATGATCTGATAAGAGAATTGGCATTCAAACTTTCGAACAATAAACTTGGTGATTGTTTGGCACCTATTAATTTATAAACATGATTTTGTGGAACCCACTAGTACTAATTCACCACTCTTTTTCATCTATATTCATAATTTAAACCCATTATAATCACTTCTCAAACATGCGCACTTACTTCTACATAGTCCCCAGCTGTTGCTACAATTCTTTTGATGAAAATGTCACTCGAACTAAAACCAATATCCTGCAGAGAGCATCAATTTGAAAGACTGGTATGTTGGCTCAGGGTGACACAAATAACACTATTTGTTCTCAAAATTATGCAGTTGACGAGTTCAGGACATACCTGAAGAATGGGGGGCACCTTAAAAATAACAATGTCGGAGACTTCGGGATTCTTGAAAATGTAAGAAACCTGAAAACCCACAAAAAAAAAATCAAAATGGTCAGCTTGGTAGTACACATTAAACTGTTGAGCTCACATATTAAGCTATCGAGCTTAACAAAGCCTACAATCAAGCTTATCCTTGCAACTACTCCTAGACCACATCAAACTTGGACTTCTTCAATCAATGGAGGCCAGAGAAAAGTATAAAAACAAGGAAAGCAAGCAATCCATAAGCAGTAATAACGGCGTGCTCCATAAGTTCTCAATTGCCACTAAAAGCAATAAGCTAAAAATATTGCTTCAAGCCCTTAAACAGGTAAATTGAATAGATGGTGTTCCTAAGTCGAAATTCTCACAATAATGACCAAAAACTGATTATGATTTCTAGGCACAAGATCTTGATCAAAACTACTTCCTTAATCTGATCCACAATCCAAATCTGGCAATAGAAATTGTTTTTAATACTTCATTTATACACAGTTAAGTTCCTCTATAAACATGATTTACTTATAGCTATCACAATTAAAATTCAGCTGAGGCAAGTATCTCTATACCTTCTCAGCTAGAATGCGATCGCCCACATTAAGAGTTGGGTACATAGAAGTGGTAGGAATATACTTCGGCTCAGCCAATGAAGATTTGAACAGTACACTAACAGAGAATGCAGTGAAAGCCGCCTTGGCATCCTCCGAGCAGAAGCAGAGATCCATCAACTTCGAAAGCCAACTGTGTCTGTTCCTACTATTGGGCAGCAAAACCTTCAAACTACTACCACCACTCTTGGCCACTACAAAAGCCTCTGAACACTTATTAGCACTGCTGTTTTCAATCACGCCTTCGCTGCAACTACTAATACACTGAGTCCCACCTTTATCCACCTCCGTACTCTCCAGCTCGTTGCACAGCAGCGACTTGGAACCCTGAAGAAACGGAATGATCGAAGAAGCCTTGAATGGCGAAATCCCAAAAACACCCACGTTGGGTACACCCGTTGACTGCTTCATCAAAGAGTTTAATCCCACAACAAGTGGCGATTTCGTACTTTCACCCACGATTTCCCGGGCCAACGTCGAAGTGAGGGAGAAAGATGAGGCTGTACTTATGGGCTTTGACTTGGATTTAGGGAGGAAATCGGAGTAATTGGAATCGAGTTTTTGACTCGGAGGGTGGTGGAAGAGGCGGGAGCGGGTGTCGACGTGGAAGAAGCGTGAGGCAGAGCATTTGGATGTGGCGGGGTAGGCAACACTCTGGGCGATGTAGCCGGAGCAGGTGACGGTTAATTTGATAGCCATAACGACGAATTGCAAAAGACCGATGAAAACGAGAAGGAAAATAGTGGGGCGAGTGACGAGCTCCGAGAATAGAAACAGCTCTAGAAGCCAAGAAATGCCATTGAGTTCGAAGAGATCAGTGATGAACCGGACGGGAAAGGAGGGAATTGAAAAGTTGGTTTACATCGGAGGGGTCAGGAGGAAATTGGAGGTGCGTCTGAAGGGGAAAATCGGAAAGTCGAACCCTGTCGGCGGAGGCCGTCGTCGACAGGGGCGGAGCTGGTAGGAGGAAAGCGTAGGATGTCTAGAGAGAAGGGGTTGATTTCGTGGGAAAATGATATGGTCAACGAAACTGACAAGAGGCCAGAGGGTACTAATAATAATTTTTTTTTTTGGAAAAATAAATTTTGAAATATGAATTTTTGAATGATGTGTTGTTAAAAAAGAAAAATTGAAATTTAGGTGTAAAATATTTTATTGTGCGAATGTATGATTGAAAATAAATTTGAAGAAATAATTAATTTAATGTAAAACATACCAGAGCTAATATGGATGGGATTAATTAGGTTAATGAAATATTGAGTAAATATGTTAATAAAGAGAGTGGAAAAGGAAAACAATATGAAGAGAAAATAAATTTAGTTATTATAATCTTTCTTTCTTTTTCATGTCATTATTACGTTAAAGAGTAACCAAACCAAATCAAATCAAATCGAACTAAAACGAGCGACTCTTAGAACCAAATCCAATTGATTTTGGTTTTAGTTTCGATTCTGGTTTTGATTCCGATTCCAATGATAGTTTCCATTGAAAAATCTATTAGGATATAAAAAAGATTTATTTATCCCTCGTATTTTTAATAAGCGAAAGAAAAACAACATATGTGAAAGTTCGACAAAATATTTTTACTTCATCTCAAAGATCTTTCATTCACAATTTTTTTTTTTTTAAATCAAAAGCATTTTCTAAAACTATTTGACCCTCGAATTCAGAGTATTCTACATTCATACAATTCATAGGGATCAACGATCAATTGATATTTCATAATCAAGGGTGTAATACTCTTTGTAGTAAAGATCCTTATATAAGCACACAAATAGAATGTTTGTATAGAAACCGTTATCAGAGACGGAGTATGCTAAATAATTGAAGGTTATTAATATGAATGCGATGGAAAAAGTTTGGAACACAAGTGTAAAAAATTGAAATAACTTGAAATACTCTTCATTTTCGGATTATTCTTTTTATTTAGATGTCTTTTGTAGATTTAAACCAATATTTTAAAAATTGATTCAGATATCAATCAAAAAAGATAAAGAGTCTATCAAATAGTCGAACACCCGCCAATGTCATTCATAGCAGATTATTTTGAATAATGTAACACTTTTCACATTGCTAAGCAACGTGAGGCTAATAAAAGTACTTTCCTCGAATTTACACCCTTTTAGAAAAATTGATCCAAATATCCAAAATAAGTTTGATCAAATCCCTATTTAACCTTTTTATGCTTACTTTGACCGATTTGTTGGCATAATTGAGACAACGTTAAAATTTGCACCAACCATATTAACTTATCAATCACGATTGCTAACTTTCGAACAATGCTATGTAGCTAACTGGGATTGTAACTTCAATCTAAATAACGTTGGATGATAAATTAAATGAAATGTGAAATTAAATTAGCCATTTAATTACTTAAGATTTTGATGTCACAATGTCACCTAGACTGGGATTTCTCGCCCACATTTTTTTGAAAACAAAAGGTTGTGAAAATCAATGAGGAATGAATATACATTTAGGGTCCGTTTAATTGCAAGATAGAAAATGGGGTGGAAAGAAAACGAATTTCAGAGAAAATAATTGTTTAGAAATTGTTTTCTCAAGAAATGTCAATTAATTGCGTTTGCTTGGTATAATTTTCTACCTGGAAAATATTAAGATTTTGTGTTTGCTTGGTTTTGCTTTCTATGTAAATTGTATCCTGCCATTTTCCAATTTCTTTCACCTCACAGAACCCATCTCCATTTCTATTTCAATTTCAATTCAACCAAAATAAAAACATCATCCTCCCATTTTCCATTTTCTTCACAATCACCATTTCCATTTTCTTCACACATATGCCGCCTCGGCGTCATCTTCAACAGTTTGGAGGAAGCATTTTTTTTTTAGCAATTCAATTATTTTATTTTTTTTGAATTCGAGCTAATTTGATGAAGACCCATGTATATATGTTGTCCGTCATAATGAATAGGAGGTAATGGTGGTGGTGCGCGACCGAGATTCTCAACGCTGACGTCGGAATTTGGGATGCACTATGTGCGATTTGTTGCCTACGAACCGATAAGAGATGCAATCCATTATAAATCATTTCTTGATGATATGGGACCATGAAAATGCTCATCTTGATGAGTAGTAGGGGCCTGTAATGGAGTATGGTCATGGGTGTTGGAGGGTTGACCGGAATGGGTGTTGGAACCGTGCCTAAAGGCGTCATTTTTCTACTGAATTTTCGGTGATTTTGGAACCTTTATATTCGATTTTTGGTATGAAATTGAAGAGTGGGATGAGGAGATGACGATGGTGTGGAAATCCAGTGGGTTGCTACCGGTATGGTGGTTGAATTTTGGAGAAGAATGTGTCAGCTCCATGTTGAGAATTTGTCAATGTTCCAGTTTGCTATGAGATGGAAAATTGAATTCCTTATTTTTATGGAATTGGGGGTCACGTGCAAGAAAGTGGGAAAATCTTTTGCCTGGAAATTTTTGATTATCAAACAGGTTAAAAAATAGAAAAGTGAAAAATATTTTCAATCTTCCATGGAAAATAGGCCCTATCAAACAGGTAATGCATTATTGTTGACTTATTATTAATAGCAATAGAGATTAGACAATTTTGAACCACATCAGTCCCATCTTTTGCATGTTTAGACAATATTATAAATAAATATTTATTTACCGTGGAGTCCAACTTATCAAATATCAATTTCTACTACGGATCTATTTGATAGTACCAAATTTTCTAGGGAAGTTGCCGTTTGGTAGGCTAAATTTTCCATAAAATTCATTTTCCACCTTTACCTTATTTTCTACCCAATTCTTGGTTTTCCAAGCTACTTTTTTTATTATTTGGGTGCGTTTGATTGTAAGGGTGAAAAATTGGTGGAAAGAAAATGATTTCTAGGGAAAATAATTGCCTAGAAAATATTTTGTAGAGAATTGTTAATTAAATGTGTTTGATTTATATAATTTTCCATTCGGAAAATTTTTAAATTTTCTATTCGTTTGGCTTTGTTTTATATTGAAATTGTCTATTAAAGTGATAATTTTTTCCACACTTGGTTATAAAATTTGTTTCCATTACCAAAAAGTAAAAAAAATAGAAAAAAAAATGTTTCCTAAAAAATCATTTTTTTAATCAAAATTTAGTGTTCGTTTGACTTTCGTTTGCATCAAAATTGTCTATGAAAGTAAAATTTTTTTAATACTTGGTTATGAAATTTGGTTCCAACTCTTAAAAAAAAAAGGCAAAAAAATAATAATAAAGTCAACAGCTGGTGGAATTCATTTTCCCACAAAACCTCGAATTGGAGCGCGTGACGCAATTGGGTGGAAAACAAATAGAAGGGAAAAAGTGGCCCATCAAACAACTCAAATGCAAGGAAAAGGAATTTATTTTCCAACTTCCAAAGAAAATTTGGCATATCAAACATATTTATTTTGGCAATTTGAATAAATTCTATTCTCAATTGTAACAAATTATATCACTTTAATTGGCAATTTTCATGAAAAATAAAGCAAAACGAATGGTATTCGATATGATAATTTTTTTTTCTTTTTGGAACAAATTCTAGACCTAATAGTAAAAAAAAAAATCATTTTAATTGATAATTTCTATAAAAAAACGAAGCCAAACGAATACCAAACTTTCAATATTTTTCATGTGGAAAATTATATCAATTTCATGTAATTCATTTTCTTTCCACTTAAATCCCACATTTACAATTAAACAGATCTAAAATTAAATTAAGAATGCCAAGCACTTGGTCAAGTTTCCAACATATTCCCCATAAATATATAACTAAATCCAATATTTCATGAAGACTAATAATTAATATTGACTTACTATCTATCTTCAAGGGTGCGATCGTAATGTATTCCTTTAGTCAAGAGCCCTTTATCTCGTATGTACATGACATGCTCTTCTTATTTTAGCTATTTTAACGTCTTTCTGCAGAAAATTTATAGGTTTATAATTTCAATTATTCTACTTGTACAGAATTATTTCATCTGTAAAAATATCAGATCACTCACATGGGGTGGGCCCCATGTGAATAAAATATTATTATAAAAAATGGGATACATCCCCATGTGTGTGATTCGATATTTTTGCATATGAAAATTTTCTGTAACAATAGCACAACTTCATAGTTCTGAATATAATCTGATAAATCGTCAGTCAACGCAACTAATATTTAATGTGAAATTTTATGAAAAATGAAACGTGGGAAAAAAGAAAAGTGAAAATTGTGCTCGACTTTGACGTCATTATTAGGTTGTGACGCAGGGGCATTCGTCATCAGTAGTAGTTAGTTGCTGCCGTGTCATAATTTAGTCTCAATACTGTTGACTGAGTAAATTGGCATTTAATGACTAGATACAATGAAACTCATCGAATCTTAGTTACCATAACTAAGCGGCACGTGTTAGGTGTTTTTTTTTGTAAAAGAGATTTGAATAGTGTTCTAAAATAAGAATAACGTTATCTAGTACAGATGACTACATTTTGTAGGTTGAATTAAATGAGTTATATGATTTTTCATTTAAATGAATATATCATTTAATGTCATATAATTGCTACCTAAATTGATACTTAGTACCAGGAATGATAAATAGCATTATATATGGTTAAAGTATGAAAAAATTTTAGGTTTACATAAATAATATTTTATTGTGTAAATATGTGGTTGAAAATAATCTTCTAGAAAAAAGAGTTTGAAAAGAGTGATAATCATACGGGTTTAA